TACATACACTAGTCATTATAAACTCACTAATAAATGAAGTAAAACAAAATTGGCATAATCTATTTACAGCTGTTTTACAACATGAAGGTCTGAAATATACACAAACGTATGTCATGTTCCAATAACTACAAAACTGACAGGTCGTGCAAAAGTAACATTATATCCGGCAAATCAAATTACAAAAACCTTATATCAGCACTTGTGTAGAGTTCCTTGGTCGAGCGGTAGGAATCATCTCCATGCTCGAAGATCATGAACAAACCGCCATGAACGAACCGCCATATTGCCTGCCAACAGACGTGAATGGCATCCACAGCTACGAAACTGGTAATCGCCGCTTGTAACTTGCCATGTTGTCAGTCCCTATTCACCTAGCATGGCCTTGATGAGCATAGTTTGTCAGACGCCACCGAAATGAACTTCAAACCAATGTCAACCTGACAGATTTGGCAGAGCACCGGTTATGGTGTGGCGTCACTGTGACTCCGACCCCCACTACATCATGTGGAAGGGAGGGTAATAGAGTAGGGAGGGTCATAGACTAGGGAAGGTCATAGACTGAGGAGGGTCATAGACTAGGGAGGGTCATAGACTAGGAGGGTCATAGACTAGGGTGGTCATAGACTAGGGAAGGTCATAGACTAGGAGGGTAATAGACTAGGAGGGTCATACACTAAGAGGGTCATGGACTAGGGAAGGTCATAGACTAGAAGGGTCATAGACTAGGAGGGTCATAGACAAGGGGGGTAATAGACTAGGAAGGTCATAGACTAGGGAAGGTCATAGACTAGGAGGGTCATAAACTAGGGAGGGTCATAGACTAGGAGGGTCATAGACTAGAAGGGTCATAGACTAGGGAAGGTCATAGACTAGGGAAGGTCATAGACTGGGGAGGGTCATAGACTAGGGGGGTCATAGGGTCATAGACTAGGGAGGGTAGGAAGGTCATAGACTAATAGGAGGGTCATAGACTAGGAGGGTCATAGACTAGGGAAGGTCATAGACTAGGAGGGTAATAGACTAGGGAGGGTCATAGACTAGACTAGGGAGGGTCATAGACTAGGAGGGTCATCATAGACTAGAGAGGGTCATAGACTAGGAGGGTCAAAAAGACTAGACTAGAGAGGGGTCATAGACTAGGAGGGTCATAGACTAGGAGGGTCATAGACTAGGAGGGTCATAGACTAGGGAGGCGTCATAGACTAGGGAGGAGAGTCATAGATAGGAGGGAAAGTCATAGACTAGGAGGGTCAGAGACTAGGGAGGGTCATAGACTAGGAGGGTCATAGACTAGGGGGGTCATAGACTAGGGAGGGTCATAGACTGGGGAAGGTCATAGACTAGAAGGGTCGTAGACTAGAGAAGGTCATACCCTAGGGAGCGTCATAGACTAGGGATGGTCACTGGACAGTACTCTTAGGTCGACATGCTGACATCCTTTGTTGTCCCGCTTGCAAGATGTGTGGGTCGACATTGTTTCATTCAGGATGTCAAAGCTCACCTCCATTCATCGAATGCCATAGTCAGCAATGAGCCAATGCCGTTCCTCATATCGACACATCTGACAGTCTTCCAAACGGCCAGACAATTAACTCAGCGTTTTACGTTACATTTTACGCAATGACGGGCTAAGACTGAGACGTGGAAAGCTGAGAATAGGTGAACATATCAGGCATGACTACAATCCAGAGCGGGAGAATGGTGGTTTGATCTTTCGTCAAACCATGTTGTAAATGGTACTTTGTTTTACCTTCCTTGCGCCTGGCACCAAAGCATAAAACATAGACTGGGAGGCTCAGTGACTATATGTGTTTAAACTGCGGCATGTTATCTCCTTGTCTCTGTACAAGTGCAATATCGCGACTGCAATCTCCTCTTCCTGTAGGCCGACAACCGTTGTTGATAGATCTCAATATCACTAACATATCGACATACTGACACATACAGTTCGACAGAGCTGACTGCTAATGTTGATAACTATGAACGGAAGGTGAGTTCGAGACTAAATGCAAGTTCGACACAATCATGGTCGACTTTAATTGAGATTGTTTGACAAGATTAACGCATTTAGTTTGATCCACAACATTTCCACATACAAAAGGTGCATGTACGCCTACTGGTTGCCAACGGGGTGTATTAAACAGAGACATATTATAACGTGTGGGATAAAAGGGATTTTAAATATATATTAATAAAACAAATCACAGTAAAGATATAAAGTTTAAAGTTGCAAAACAGTTGCAAAACGACGAATAAAGTGGGAAATTGTGTTCTGAAGTTTTGAAACTTTCTATATACGAGCATAATACCAGGTTTGCAATCTGGACCTTTATTAATATTGATGATGGATTGGTCTGGTCACACAAGTCAAGATGGCGGAAATGCCACAGTTTGTGTAACATAACTAAGGTAGTCAACAGCAGGAAGCCGAGACCAGATTAATGTTCTGTTGAATAACAAAGCTACACCTGCACCCACGTTAACATCAAAGCCTCCTTCATACCTCTTATCTGTCCACTACAACTTACAGTCCACAAACACATAATTCATTGACGATTTACTTGACATGCCATACCTGACAACGAGAAATCACTTCAGTACCCAATCAGTACTTCCAGGGGACTTCAAATGCCATACACTGCCCTTAGGTAGAAGTCTAACCATGCATACTCATGTTCAAATGGGCTTCTTGACAAAGAGGGGCAAAATAAACATTCTTTCTCCAGATTAACAGCTGATCTTCCATTTCATATTTGTAACTGAGTAGGATCTAAAATGTCATCTTGCGCACAGAACAAATATAGACATGGCAGGTTTTTAATCTTACACCTACGTCTGGCAAGAGAATACGGATAAAGGTTCGATTATTTTAAGAAAGACATAAAATGGTAAAAGATTATTACCTTCGTTATTTCCATATGGTAAAATATAACCTACTAGGAACAAAATATATGTATCATGATCGCCATTAGAACTCCGTATACCATTTATATTGTTAATTCGTGATATTTGCGATCTGATCTACATTCGCAGGGAAAGTCAGGGATTGGCTGGCTTGTCTTGAAGATTTAGTTGTCAGCCAGACAGTCACACTGACAGTTCCTTGCAAAGAGCCAACGAATTCGAGAAATGTTTATAGCAATTATTGGTTTCTTATAGAGCGAGGCAACCAATACTACAGTCCCGACATGACGGGGGCGTATCTTCAAACATGTCCAACATTACATCATCTTAAACTGTTATATTCTCGAACTCAACATCTCTCACATATATCTTCTCTGTTCTCTGTTTTATTTAATTTATATCATGTAAATATAATTGTTGTAAATGTTGGGCGAGGGCTTCATTAAACTTTTGCCCAATCCTTTTCTTCAATGAATAAAATATACTCTCCCAAAAAAGAAACGCATAGGAATTTCAACTGTATTTTTATGTTTATTTTGAAACATCTTGTAGGCTTTATGAGTCAATGAAATATAGCGAAATTGCACACTGGGAATGCAGACTTATCCGTCTTTGACACCAACTCGAGGAAAGTCAGTTTGAGTCTGACAAGGAGACGTGTGGTGGCGCTGAAGTCAATACCTCGTGTGACCACCGTGGGCATCCAGAACTGCACGGCATCGCCTCGGCATCGAACGAATAAGTCTCAGAATCTCGTGTTGCTCAATCGCAGCCCACTCTGCCTGTAGTGCCTGTGCGAGTTGCTGAAGTGTCTGGGGCTGAGGGTTACGGCGTCGCACCCGTCTGTCCAGGGCATCCCACAGATGTTCGATCGGGTTTAAGTCCAGTGATCTTGAGGGCCAGGGGAGCACATTGATGTTGTGGTTCTGGATGAAGTCTCTAGTGTGACGTGCTGTGTGGGGCCTGGCATTGTCCCGTTGAAACAACTCCCTCTGGCGATCAATGATTGGAAGGAGGTGTGGGCGTAGGATTTCGTCACAGTCCCGTTGAGCTGTCAGGTTGCCCTGGATCATCACCAAATCACTTCTCCTACAGCAGGTGATCGCTCCCCACATCATAACACTGACCCGGCCGAATCTGTCCACCTGGGGAACGCAAGCGTCGGCGAAACGTTCACGTCGACGTCTGTACACCCGCATTCTTCCATCGCGTCGTTCCAATAGAAATCGTGATTCATCACTGAACCAGATTCTACGCCAATTCGGTAGGTTCCAGGCCTGAACGTTGGTGCACCATTGAACTCGATGTCGACGATGTTGTTGTCGAAGCACAGGGCCAAAATAAGGTCTTCTGGTACGTAAACCAGCCTCTCTCAATGGTCTGTGCAGAAAGCCTCCTCAATCCGGGTATTTGTCGAGCGGTACTGGTCGCCGTAGCTGTTCGATGACGCAGGTGATGCACCCGGATGTAGCGATCCTGCGCCGCAGTGGTCGCTCGAAGTCGCCCACTACTAGGGGCATCTGCTACCGCATTCTGCTGGCGATATCTCTCCCAGAGCCGTGAAATGGTGCTTTGGTGAACATTCATGCGTCGGGCAACTGCACGTTGAGACTGGCCAGTTTCGAGCAAACCAATGGCGATATGACGGTTGGCTTCACTTTGCGTTCGTCAACAATATTCCAAATACAGTGAATAATCGACAGACAGCGATCAACCTTTTATACCCATCATTGAGACTATCTGATCCCAAACTTACACGTGCATTGCATGTGAATTGTGTATTCTGTGACACTACACGCCGAAATTGAAAGTCATGCTGTTAAATACGGGTATTTTACGGATGGTGCGTTCTGTTGTGATGTTTCAAAACATAAACACCATAGGACTCATAAACAGAGCAAAACCTTTTGTAAAATGATTCACGTTTTAATTCATTGCTACATGAAATTGCTATTTTCATGATGCGTTTCTTTTTTGGGGAGAGTATATGTTTAAATAAATAAACAGGGGCATTGGGTTAAGCACACTGACATCTTCACTCATTAGTCTGTGGGCAGACTAGAGGGATAAGCTGCTATTGTCTCAAGGGATGACGGTTATGGACTGGGGAAGACTGGTGTTGGACTGATGAGGACCGGTGATAACTGGTGATGATCGGTGTTGGACTGATGAGGACCAATGATAACTGGTGACGATCGGTGTTGGACTGATGAGGACCGGTAATAACTAGTGATGATCGGTGTTGGACTGATGAGGACCGGTGATAACTGGTGACGATCGGTATTGGACTGATGAGGACCAATGATAACTGGTGATGATCGGTGTTGGACTGATGAGGACCGGTGATAACTGGTGACGATCGGTGTTGGACTGATGGGGACCGGTGATAACTGGTGACTACTGGTGTTGGACTGATGAGGACCGGTGATAACTGGTGACGATCGGTGTTGGACTGATGAGGACCGGTGATAACTGGTGACGATCGGTGTTGGACTGATGAGGACCGGTAATAACTGGTGACGATCGGTGTTGGACTGATGAGGACCGGTGATAACTGGTGATGATCGGTATTGGACTGATGAGGACCGTCGATAACTGGTGACTACTGGTGTTGGACTGATGAGGACCGGTGATAACTGGGGACGACTGGTGTTGGACTGACGAGGACCGGTGATAACTGGTGTCGATGCATGTATAAGCTCTAGAATTATCACAGTTATTCAAGTAGTAGTGTATCCAATGATCAAATGAGCCATTCGCAGTTTCCATGTGCTGGAGTTGGTACTTGGGCATGCACTGATGAGTACTGGTGAAGGACTGGTGAAGACTGGTGTTGGACTGATGAGGACCGGTGTTTGACTGTTGAGGACTGGTGTTGGACTTATGACTACTGGTGTTGGACTGGTGAAGACCGGTGTTGGACTTATGAGGACTGGTGTTGGACTGATGAGGACTGATGAGGACTGGTGTTGGATTGATGAGGACTGATGTTGGACTGATGAGGACTGATGAGGACTGGTGAAGACCGGTGTTGGACTTATGAGGACTGGTGTTGGACTGATGAGGACTGGTGTTGGACTGATGAAGACTGATGAGGACTGGTGTTGGATTGATGAGGACTGATGTTGGACTGATGAGGACTGATGAGGACTGAAGAGGACTGATGAGGACTGGTGTTGGACTGATAAGGGCTGGTGTTGGACTGATGAGTACTGGTGTTTGATTGATGAAGACTGGTGTTGGACTTATGAGGACTGGTGTTGGACTGATGAGGACAGATGAGGACTGGTGTTGGACTGATGAGGACTGATGTTGGACTGATGAGGACTGATGAGGACTGAAGAGGACTGATGAAGACTGATGAGGACTGGTGTTGGATTGATGAGGACTGATGTTGGACTGATGAGGACTGATGAGGACTGAAGAGGACTGATGAGGACTGGTGTTGGACTGATAAGGACTGGTGTTGGACTGATGAGTACTGGTGTTTGATTGATGAAGACTGGTGTTGGGCTTATGAGGACTGGTGTTGGACTGATGAGGACAGATGAGTACGTGGTGGGCTGATGAAAACTGATGACGACTGGTGTTGGATTGATGAGGACAGATGTTGGACTGATGAGGACTGATGAGGACTGAAGAGGACTGATGAAGACTGATGAGGACTGGTGTTGGACTGATAAGGACTGGTGTTGGATTGATGAAGACTGGTGTTGGACTTATGAGGACTGGTGTTGGACTGATGAGGACTGATGTTGGACTGATGAGGACTGATGAGGACTGAAGAGGACTGATGAAGACTGATGAGGACTGGTGTTGGACTTATGAGGACTGGTGTTGGACTGATGAGGACAGATGAGGACTGGTGTTGGATTGATGAGGACTGATGTTGGACTGATGAGGACTGATGAGGACTGAAGAGGACTGATGAAGACTGATGAGGACTGGTGTTGGACTGATGAGGACTGATGAGGACTGAAGAGGACTGATGAAGACTGATGAGGACTGGTGTTGGATTGATGAGGACTGATGTTGGACTGATGAGGACTGATGAGGACTGAAGAGGACTGATGAAGACTGATGAGGACTGGTGTTGGACTGATGAGGACTGGTGTTTGATTGATGAAGACTGGTGTTGGACTGATGAGGACAGATGAGTACTGGTGTTGGACTGGTGAAGACCGGTGTTGGACTTATGAGGACAGATGAGGACTGGTAAGGACTGATGAGGACTGAAGAGAACTGGTGAAAACTGGTGTTGGACTGATGAAGACTGGTGTTGGACTGATGAAGACTGAAGAGGACTGATGAGGACTAGTGAAGACCGAAGAGGACTGATGAGGACTGATGAGGACTGAAGAGGACTGATGAGGACTGGTGAAGACTGGTGTTGGACGGATGAGGGCTGTTGTTGGACTGATGGAGACTGGTGAAGACTGGTATTTGACTCATGAGGACTGGTGAGAGCGAAGAGGACTTTTGTATCTTGGTGTTTTGTTTTTGGTGGTGGTGGTGGGTTGGGTTTGTTTGTTTTTCTGGTTTGTTTTTGCGTTTTGTTTGTTTCTTTGTTTGTTTCTGTTTCTTTTATTTGTGTGTTTGTTTTGTTTTGTTGTTTTGTTGTTGTTTTTTCTTTCTTTTTGTTTGTTGTTTTGGTTTGGTTGGGGTTGTTTTTTAGGTTTAATAATATTCTTTTTTTTCTCGGCGTTAGGGATGAGATTCAGTGTAAGGATATAGATCACATTACAGTGTAAATATGTATATTTTACATAACTCGTCAGTGCAATGGTAACTTATCAGTGTGGGCACTACTCAGTGCGACGTACGGCTGTATGTTGAGATGCAGTGCATCCCATAAATGTTCGACGGGGTTTACATCTGGAGACATGGGGGCCATGGCAGTACATGGATGTTGTGGTTCCTCAAAAATGTCGCTGACAGTCTTGCCGTGTGAGATAACGATGTTAGTGTGTTTGTCCGCCATGCTCCCACGTATCTATATATTTTAAGAATAACGGATTGGTCTCACAGTTCCATCGATCATATCATAAACCATATTATTAAGTTTTGATAGATATGCTAAGTGTGTTAGACTTTGATAGATATGCTAAGTGTGCTAGACTTTGATAGATATGCTAAGTGTGCTAGACTTTGATAGATGTGCTAAGTGTGCTAGACTTTGATAGATATGCTAAGTGTGCTAGACTTTGATAGATATGCTAAGTGTGCTAGACTTTGATAGATATGCTAAGTGTGCTAGACTTTGATAGATATGCTAAGTGTGCTAGACTTTGATAGATATGCTAAGTGTGCTAGACTTTGATAGATATGCTAAGTGTGCTAGACTGTGATAGATATGCTAAGTGTGCTAGACTTTGATAGATATGCTAAGTGTGCTAGACTTTGATAGATATGCTAGACTGGTGTGTCTAGGTGTAGAAACCTTATTAGAGCCTCTATTATATGGTCTCTGCTAGTAGATATACTGGTCGTGTCAACGTGTTATCCCTTATCGAAACTGAAGTTCAAGGGGAGGGCCATGGTTTCTCAAAAAACTATTTCTGTCCTTCTGATACACTACCTACAAATGTATCGTCTCTCCCTGCCATGTGGTTTTGCCTATTTTCTATAACAAACTGAGTTTGTGTGTTTAAAGGTAAATGGCGAGATGTGATGCGGTTCATTCATGACTAACCACAAATGACAAATTTGGTATACTTTTTAAACAGTGGTATGATATGAACGCTTTGGGGATATGACATTAACGATCCAGATGTATGATCCAAATACAAGCCGTACAACTAAACGCACTCATTCACTCCAAATACAAGTCTGTGATCGTGGGCCCCAATTCCAGTTCTTCACAATTACGCCTCCAGGTTAAAGGTCAGCATTATACCCGCGAGCGTGTGTTTCATCAAGGTGTTACTTCGGGCTTTTCTCCCACATCAAGCAGACACGGTTGGTGACATAACTGGAATCCAGATCAAACCAACCCCTAATTCACTCAATGTAATCACTGAAACCATTTGGTTTAAGAAGTAAACGTTTGAGCATATAAACCAAGTGCTTGTGTCTATGCGCCCACGGAATTCTAATCTGACATTTTACATATAGCACATGTCAAAATGTCAGTTTGTCATCAGTCGTTTATCAAAGTATCATTTCGAAATTGATATACAGTAACCATGGCAACATACAGCAAAAAATAAATAGAATAGCACGAAAAGTAAAATATTGTGGATGATCTGCTGTCTACTTTTATCAAATTATGAGACAATATTTTCTATACTCACGTTGTCTCTGCTTAAAGCAACAGAGTCCGTTGTACGTTTCTAACTGTGTCATGAATCTGTGTTCATAGACATTACTGGGGCGGTGGGGTAGCCTAGTGGTTAAAGCGTTTGCTCGTCACGCCGAATACCCGGGTTTGATTCCCCACATGGGTACAACGTGTGAAGCCAGTTTTTTGTATCACCCGCCGTGATATTGCTGGAATATTGCTAAAAGCGGCGTAAAACTCCTCACTCACTTACAGTACAATTTATGAAAAGTATTGAAAATCAAAATGAAATCGTAGTTATGGTAAGGTAGATATGGTTTCGTCTTACGCCCCTGTCATGCCACTAGTGTTGCCGATGTTTTCTTTGTTCAACATCTTTGGCGTACAAACACTGGCCTTTGGCATATGTAGACAGTGTTAATCACTAGGTCAGGAGGTGATCAGTATCTGCTTGTATATTAGACAATTGTAGTCAAGTCATTAAGTGAGCGTTAAGCCACAGCTATCGCTGTCTGGTAGCCGTGGTTCAGTCTGACATCTCAACGCTCGACCTCACTGCACACGGTGACACTGTTTAATACTGTGGAGTTCGGTTTCAGGCAGCCTAGATTCATTTCTTATGTTCATGAAAACTTAGGAACTTGAAGATTGCAACCACCTTTTCTCTGCTGTCTTTCTTTTAATGACCAACATATCAAAGAATTCTTGAAAACAAAATGACTGACTGAGTTTGGTTTAACGCCGCTTTTAGCAATATTGCAGCAATATCACGGCGGGGAACACCAGAAATGGGCTTCACACATTGTACCCATGTGGGGATTCGAACCCGGGTCTTCGGCGTGACGAGCCAACGCTTTAACCACTAGGCTACCCCACCGCCCCGAAAACAAAATGAAACTATAATCATGCCCATATGTCGTCTTATGTGTTTACGAACCCATTTGGGTATCATAATGATCTGTTTATCTGTTTTATGTTTTAACACCGCATTATGCAACACTGCAGCTCTACGATGGAGGTCTGGGACAGACACGTTGGTGAATGATATTAGGAGAGACAAGAGTTACGATGAATGAACCATGTCGCCGAGCCTCACGATTAATCCATTTAATCACCCCTATTACCATCCCAAGCTGCTGGGGACCTGTTCCCGGATAAACAGCGGAACGGTTAATGGAAGCCTGTTAATAAAGGTCTGACCACATCACGTCAAAGTCCGTGTTCGATTCTCTACGTGTGTGAACATAAGCTACGAAACCATTGCTATAATTATGAGAATCGGCTCTGTCGGCTGATTCCGTTGTACAAGAAAATAGCTGTGAAAATTGTATAAATCGATCACTGAATCTCAAGGTTGACACCAGGTTTTTGCCAAAAGGGTTCGCCCCGTATTTAGCATCTACCACTGACACAGTGTGGATGAAGGATTAATATACATTAAGCCATTGTATTATTGCATTCTTTTATCTTGTCTAGAACTTATAAAGATCAAAGCTCATGGCAATTCCTCTAGCTACTTCTAATTCTATTACACAAAGCCACTAGTATGCACACCCACGTCCTCAGCCACCCTGTGAGGGGCTGTTTATATATGTCTGACCCACTCCAAGTATTGACTATTTCGTCTGTGAGATGTCTACAAAGTGTCCAATATACTGTATCGCATGTCAGTTCATATATGTGATCACGGTATCGACCCGTGTTTGACAAGACGGTCTATGTGTAGTTTACAGATTTTATGCTTGTCAGCTTAAGTCAACATTTGTCTGACGTGAGCACAGGGAAAATTACTTCTCCCATACTTGTGTCCAGTCAATAATCAATGGGAAATCGACAAGAATGAATACTTGGATTACTCAAGAGGAAAAACAATTCTGGTTGTACATGAACACTCTTCCTTTGGATGTATAGAAATAATGGTGGGTTGAGTCGTTCATCGAGCATCTGTATGTACATATGAATACCTCTAGAGATGGCGCCATTGGATTGTATCACATCACAGACTGTTGTCATACAAATAGTGCAGGCTCGTGAAATAAGACCTTTTTGGGGGTTGGGGTGGGGGTTGGGGTTGGCACTTTGTTAAAAAGTAAAAGTTGATATTTAAACAACTGACCACTAGATCACTTTGAAGTAAAGAGCTCATTATAACAGAAACTGAATTAGAAACCAGTGTCATGAGTTGATTTCGTATTTGTAATGCAAAGGTTAAACCTTAATTCGTTAAGTACAGAAAAACATTGTGAAGCAGTAGAAAGTTGGATTACACTTCTAGAATGCTAGTGCTTTTCAAGGTTGAGTCTCACCCTAGATTCGAACACTCCCAGTGATACTAGTATGGAGATCGCAAGTAAAGTAGTGCAAAGAGGACTCGAAATTCCCTCACGCTTTTATAGGTACAACCAGCAAAACCTCGAACAATGCAGTCAGACCCGGAATTAAATGACTGTAATGACTGAATAACCAAGAGAGAAGTAACCCTATCCTATGAGTGAGCTTCTGTAACGATATAACCACAGGCCATCAGAACATTTTATGAGCGCCTCAATCAACATGCTTCCACTTCATCGGACATGAACTTATGATATATACCACTACAAAATACCAGAATGTGTTTGAGAATGAAGCAATTAGTTGTATGCTCGAACGGCATCATTTTAAGAGTCGGTAAGTACGTAGCCTTTACCAATATCCCAGCTAAATCATGGCGGGGAACACGACAAATGGGTTTCGAACGCCTTTGGCGCTATGAACAAATGCTTTAAACCGTTTTTAACCACCTAGACTCGCTTCAATTTGAACTATGACCTTTGGACACAAAGCTTTCAGATGAAAATGAAAGTTTCCTCTGCCAATGTCGTTAGAAATACGTTGAGACGATGTATATCATGAAAACGCCTTTCTTGTAAGAGTGTATACATGGGTAATGCAAGGTAAACCCATTGTCTTACAGTTTTCGTTATTATGAGTATATTACATATTTTGTTTTCATCACATTCAGAGTTATTCATCACATACAGAGTCCCCGGGAAACTTTCCTCATCCAAATGGATCTAATGGTCAGGCCGGTCATTTGCTAGACTGGTCATGTTCATAAGATCAATCACTGGATTGTCTGGTCCAGAACGCATCATATCGGTGAAATATTTTAAGAAAGTCAGTATGTTTTAACGTAGCCTTTATCAATAGTTTAGCGATATCATGGTGGGGACATCATAGAATGGGCTTCGAACGCCTTTAACGCTATGTGTAAACGCTTTAACTGCTTTTAAGCACCCAGACTCGCCTCAGTTTGAACTAGGACCTGCGGACGCCACGCTTTCAGATGAAAATGACATTTTCCTCTGCCAATGTCGTTACACACTTACTAAGAATATGTATATCGTGAAACGCCCTTCTTGTGAGAGTGTATAAATAATACTACGCAAATCCAGTGTCTTACAGTTTTCGTTATTATGAGTATATATTACATATTTTGTTTTCATCATATACAGAGTTATTCATCGCACTGCTATGGCTTTTTGTATAGTTAGTTGACAACCAGTACTATCACTAGGGCAAATCATACTTCAGCTTTCGAAAACATCTGGTGCCACTACTGATTTTCAGTGATCAGAAAAGTTCTTGAAATGATGCAGTGAATTGGTCCTCAGGGACCTTTCCTTATAATAACAACATTGGACACAATAACATGAAACGTA